CTTGGACCCTTACACTTTCTTTCTTTTTCTCCTGTTTTTTATTCAAAACCAGGGACACCACTTCATGCTGCAGCCAAGGAAAGGAAGAGAGAGGCAGTCAAGTTCCTGGTAGAGAATGGGGCATTCTTGCCCGATGACATCAATGACTGCAGATTTAATCCACCACTCCATTACTGCCCTGGTCTTGAGTGGGCGTATGAGGAGATGAAGCGTCTTCAAAGGGGTTAACACATGATCAGGCGAGGCATCTTATAGCTCTGAAAGTTGATGGGTTTTTATCGGCATGGTTGTCACTCTTCTTGCATGTGGGTGTTTGTCATGTTATCAGTTGATAATTGGCTTAAATACGAGCATGATGCACTGTCAATGCTAGTGGGTCTGAAAGTGTCTGTTCTATTGGTTCAGTTACCTCTTCTTGTCTGGATGTTCTTGTGTGTGTACCAACATAGTTCTCTGCTTGCACCTCTTCTTGGATGTGTTGCCTTGTGATTCCTAGCTCTTCCATGAATGTTTTGACCTGCTTCACTTCCATATACTCATAAAATCGAATCCCTGCCTTCCTGGAACCTTTTCATTGCAATGCAACGTTATGTTTCATTTTTCTTTTGTTTTCTTTTCCTCTTTTTCTTGAACAAGCCGAAATTAAAGCAAAAAATAAAATATAGAAAGCTTCTTCCCGTTCATTCCTTCCTTTTTTTCTTTTTCTTTTTTTTTTTTTTTTCTCTTTTGGTAAGCAAACAAAAGAATTGCCTCCTCTCCCACTCTTTTTGCTAAAATCAAACACCTCTGCGCCCGAGGCTCAGTAAAGCACACACAAAGATGGGCAACAAACCAAAGAGTCAAGGACGTTCGAAAACATGGTCTAGTCATCTTCCAGATTTGCCCACGAAAAGCTAAGACCATCTTCATACATGTTGTGTCTTGAAAGATAATAGTAGTTAAGATGAGGCAGGAGAGCGGTGTCTCGGGAAGAAGGTGCTGGATTTTAGGAGTATTGAGCTGGATCTAAGACCACTGGACTTGAGCAAGCTAGAACTGTTATTCTTGATTTTGATGATTTAAAATCAAATATAAATTGGAAAATATACTTGACTTATTTTTGGTGATATTAAATTGATTTTCATAAATTCTGAAATATTATGTTTGAATGTGTTTATTTTTATGTTGAAAGCTTAGTTGATTGTGTGATTACCTACTTAAGATATTTTCTTTTGTAGAAAATAGCAAAAACAGAAACTATGTTATAGGTTGAGATTCCAACCCCTGGTGTAAGGTTTAGAACGCTTGATAATACCATTTTTGGGGTAGGAAACTGTCCAAGTTCCAATTCCTAAAGATCGGGGTGTAGAACCATGAAAACTATCAAAGAATTTGAATAACTTACCATACTTGGATTATATTCTTTTCGATCATACTCCAACTGTCATAATCCTTTTGATTGAACAATTTTAAGGCATAAATATCAAACTTTGAAGCAGAGAAAAATATAGAAGAAGAAGAACTTTCAACCTTAAAAACAAAAGGAGATTGAGCTTTCACTTTTATTCTTTGAAAAATTACTTATTTTTTACAATTGTATTTGTTCTCTTTCATTATAATAAATGAGAAAAAGATTGGAAGAACCTTATTAGATCTAATTCATCTTTCAAGTATAGGAAAGGTTGAGAGATTTTTAATAAGGGAATTGAATAGTTTAATAGCACTCGTAAGTTTAAAAAAAAATGATTAGGTAATCTTGTTAGATCTAAAAAAAATCAATATTGTAATATATAATTGGATTTGTGAGAGATTAAAAGAAGAGGTTAAATTATTGAAAGTGGATAACACTGACAAAGGTATTGCAATTGGAGGAGAGTTTTTTAATTCAAAGCAAACTCAAGTAGGAGGCCTAACAAGTGGAATAGATATAAATTGTAACCGAATCATTATAAATCTTTGTATTTAAGTTTTTTCTTTCTTTAACTTTTAATTTATACACTTTAAATTAATTATTTATAATTACTTATATTTACTTATTGTTTTATTTTAAAAAATTACGTAAAATTTTTGAAAATTCAATTCATCCCTCTTGAGTTCCCATCATGGGCCAACAAGAACTATACAAAAATCAAAGGAGCAAGTGAGAAACAAATGGCTATGGAAGAAGTCTAGAGGATCAAGAATGGAAAAGATAATATTAGGGTGTTTTAGTCAATCTCTGCTACTGACTCACAATATGGCTTTGAATATACTTTAAGGGGGCAATGAAAGTAGTCAAATCAAAATTCCTTGCTTTATATTTCCACATGCCGTGCGTGGCATTGTTGTTGCTTCACATGATCCACTTGTTGGGGACCTTAGATTTTTTTTTTTTAAACAATTACAAATTTAAAAATACATCATTTTATTTGAGGTGAGGGAATTTAAACTCAATTTTTAAAATTAAAAACATATTATTCTTTAAAACTTAAAAGCCAATTGACCCACAAGTACAAGTGCGGATCTTTTGGTTGCCTCCACAAACAGGAATTGATATTAGTAGATTATAGATTTATAAATACCCTGCAGACGGCCTATACCTATTCCCCTGGATACCGACAAAATTCCACTTTCGGCTCTATTAAATGTGAACTTATCGCAAAATTAAATTCGTCGTCTTTCTCTTTTACTATTAAAAATGAAAGTGAGACTGAAAAGGCCACATACCATAATAAATAAAAAAATAAATAAATAAAATCTTAAAATGTCATTGTTTTTTTTACATATTAATTATATAATGAAAAAAAATTATTTTTTATTTTTTATTATATTTTATTTATATATCATACGATTTAAATT